TCGCTTTCAAACCATACTTATGTCAATCCAGACATTCCACCACATTTCTATTTATTAATACCCCAAACTTCAGTAGGTGCAATTGTATCAAGCCACCACTTATCAAGTACTACACTTAACTTATCCTTTTTTTTTCTTTTCTTCTTTTTTTCTTTTTCAGTGGCGCTTATTCTTTTATTGTTTCAAAATACTGCACCTTTCTCTATTTCCTTGGTTCACTCAAAAAACCAAACTACACCCCACACTTTAACTTTTGCATATTTTATATCCATTCAAAGTGCTCATAGGAGGGTAAAGGGGTTCAAACAAATGGGTCGTTCAAAACAATGGGGTATGGTTTGTTAATGCGGTTGCCAAAGAAATAGGCTTATAGGCTCAACGGGGTTAACTACAATTTATCACATTTAGGTGGGCTACTTTTATATATCTGGCTTAACAAAGAAATGCCTATATCACTTTCTAAGACTGAATAAAGCTACTATTTCGCTTTACAGACACACGGGGCAAGTTCTTAGGCATCAAATGCAGAGCATAGAATACAAAACACTCACACCACATGGCACATGACTCACTCCAGATCGGCTTATCAAGACACTCTCGTTTGAGCACTCAAGTCAGTTGCCAAACATACAATTTAAGGCACTCTAACAAGAATCAACCACTGAGACTAAGTGTCACACCTTAGTTGTCTACTATGTTCAGGTGTATCAACGCCAAGGGCTTCTTTTTCTATTTCAATTCATAACCCATCAGTACTAACTAAAAAACTAGAAACAAAATAACAAAAACTAACTACACCCGGTTCAAGTAAAAACCCTTTGAAAAGAACCCTCTCCCAAAGAAAAAAACCAAGAGGGAGTTACTATACTACCTAAAACAAAAAATCTTTTTGGTATTTTCTTTAGACTTACTTCCCTCAAGAAAACTGTCTAGAAGATCCGTGCATCAGGAAGAGTCAAACATATTTCTATTTTTTTTCTTTTCTGTTTTTTTCTTTTTTTTTTTAGAGATTTCACGTCGACTTAGGACACTCATAAGAACCCCGTCGAAAGAGATCCGTCGTCGGGACACAGTCAACTTACCTAATTTGACTATAACTCAAAACCACAAAAACAATCAAGAAAAACAAAGAAAATATCAAAACAGTCAAGTTGTTACATATACACACATACATTAAAGTATCCCCCACCCCACACTTAAAAAGAAGACATGTCCTCATGGCATAACAAAATAAGGGAACAGTGAGGTAAAGGAACTTCCCTGAGTGATCACTCCTGATCGGAGACCGTGTCTAGGTTCAGATGGAAAGCACGACCCAGAGCTCTCAGCCAGCCCAATACTTTCTTCTCCGATTTCACCTGTGGGGCAGCCACCGCGTCAATACGTGTACCTAAGTCAGCGATCGAGGTACGCAATCCGGCCAGCCTCCCGCTCCAAAGTTATTGAACTGGTTAACCGAGCAGGCCCTAGATGGTGCGGCAGCCTTTGCAATTTTCATGGGCCAGTGACTCTTGCCCTCACATCCTCCTGCTTAGCCTCCGCTTCCTCAGAGTCATCAGATTCACCACTATCATCACCACCTTCTGGCACGGCTCCTTCCTAGTAGTTACCTTATCAGCTCGAAACTTGGAGTCTTTTGGCACTATCCCATCCACATTCAGATTTTCCGGGCACCCGAGCTGCCCGGCACAGTCTAGTAACTAAGGAAGGGAAGAAGAACCCGTACCTTTTCACCGACACGGGTGAACATCTCCTCATGAATCTGCTTGGCCACGTCAAAGTTGTGCCCATTTACAAAGCACCAAATAAGAGCAGCTCGAGGAGTCACCTTCGTGTGCGTGTTGGAAGACGGGATCAGGCGGTTGTTGATGACATAAAACCAAATATTTCCCTTCGAAAGTGAGCGCGCCGAGGATTGAAATTTCTTCCCATACTTCATACATACAATTTCCTTACCGGGTACACAAATGGTTTAGAAGAACATCTCCCACTGGGTGTATTTCCTCCCATAGACAGTTCATAATATAGTCTTATAGATCTCATCCAGCATACGTGCATCTCCACAGTGAGGGCAGCTGGTATATCCTCCGAATAGTCTCCACAGAGGCATCCACAGGCTTTCTGTGCACAGTTACTACCCTTTTCTCTCTTCTTTCACACGTACTCAGCTCCGAGGGGCTTCCCTTGATTTAATTTAGCTCCAAACACTGTCCTAAGTTCTCATAAGCGCAACTCGCTCCTGCAAAACATGAAATTCACAATTAGAGCCAATTTATCGTCATTTAACTATCCTAGAACAGTGAAGCATAGTCAATTTGGGGCATAAACAGTCGCCAAATTACATGAATCTAGCCTATTATCACATCTCCTTCAAAATATAGGGACACCAATTTCATTCTCTGTTGTATAGTGACTTCTTCATCAACAAAGAATTGGTCTACCTTATACAATAAGGTTCTCAGATATTCACCATCAAATTTTGGAAATTCAACCTTAGAGTATTTGGTGAATGGAATCCTAGGCAAAGGAACATTATGGTTGTTATGGGCTGTTTGTTGAGTATTAACTGCAGGGGTGTTTTGATTGGGTGGGGGTGTTGGCTGAGGTACATAGGAAAATTGATGGTATAGGGAAGGAGGCATGTGAGTGTTTGGGGAACTATAAGCTGGTAAATAGTGTATATGGTGACTGTGAAGGTTGGAAGGTATTTGGTTGTTGTTAACAGTTCCTTGATGCTGATTTTGATATGGGTAGGCAGGTCTACTTAAATCAGGTGGACCAATATATGATTGTGGAGAAATTTGGTTAGTTCTCATCAGTGATGAATGGTTTGGTTGGGGCTTGGGCAGTAGGTCTGTGAGACATTGGGCCTAATGAAGGGTGACTAGGACCAACTTGTTGCAGGTGCATCGAGGTCTGTATTTGTTCATTAATAGGAGGAAGAGTAGTTGATACTACACTCCCACTGACCCCTATTTATACAATAATTCCAGTAGTAGAAGGAGTGGCTAACTCACCAAAATCAAAGGGCTTGTCATTTGGAAAGTACAGCTCTTCCCCAGTACAACTCACATTTTTGTCTCGCTCAGGTCTCTTGCCTTCATGGATGACCTCGTTGAGCACTTCTTTGATTTCATTCAAGGCTTCTTCTTGACCTCTGCAGCTTTGCACATGGTTAGCTTCGAGCTGGTTTTGTCTAGATACAAAGCTGGACATATCAACAGACATCTTTTGCAGCATGTTCATAACCTCATTCATCTCCGTCGACATTTATCCACAGAGCCGGGAATTTGCTCTGATACCCTGATGCGTCAGCTAGGGTTTGGAAGCTAAATCTACAGCTAAGAAGAAAGGCTAAGAAAATTAAAATGATAATTCTTTTTATTCATGATAGCAACGTTTGAATACAGAGGATATATGCTTCCACTATTAGCTAAAAGACAAAAGAGTATAACTAACTCTATTGGACTCTAAATATCTAAAATTAACAATTAACAGGGCTAATGTGTAAATACCCCCAAACTTATACTTAAACTATCATATGACTCAATTGCACTTAGCTGAAACTTCAGCTAAAGTGCCTTCTTAACTGACTTAACCGTTAAGTACGACTACGCAAGCTCAACGTATAACTCTGAACAACTGCAATTTAATCTTCGCATCACGTTCAAGATTGGTATTTCCAGTTATGTTTTATATTGGAAGACGTTAATTTTTCTGTTCCTTTTGTTTATACCGTAGATAGACCAAATTCGCTCAACTTTGGCAAACTTTAGGGATAATATGTGCTATTTAAAGGATAAAAATGAACTTATCCCTGAACATAAAGGACAAATTTGTCTAAAAATTCTATAAATGTCACTAAAATCATCAATATTATATCTCACGTATTGAACACCTTTTAAACTTAAACACCCTTGATAAAATTTATAACTTTGCCACTGACTGTATTACATTGTTCAACAACTAATAAGTTTGCTAAAATATCTTTAATTACGATAAACATTAAATTTTTATCATAGCTTGGGCTTGTACTCTATTTGCAAGTGGGCCTGGAGCATAAAACCGTCACCTTTATAAGGCTGCTATTCTTCAATTCACATTTAGGAGCGGCAAAACGGTTAAAAGAAAACAGTTAACCACCCATATTATCCAAAAAAAATGGGTTGGATAATGAACTTTTTAAAAATGGGTCAAATATGAATAAGAACCATATTATCCATTTAGAAAATGGATAACCAATGAGTAACCAATGGGTCTAACTTTTACATTTGTAAAGCCTCAAATTGGGGGTTCCTCAAGTTAGGGAGACTAAGAATTCTCCCAAAAGTGATCATATGCAAGAATTCATGGATAATATGGTTACCCATATTATAAGTCGGTTAACCCATTTTTTATCCGTATTAAATATGGATCGGGTCGCATAATTGATCCGTTTTTTCATCACCTGTTCTGACCCGAACCATATCCGACCCGACCCGCCAGTTTGCCACTACTATTCACATCCAATCAATCTCACAATACTGCCTTGCAATTGGCCATGTAATCTTTCTTATTCTTCCTTTTTTTGGTTTTTTCTGATTTTTCTCTTATATATTGAATCGGGAAATTGGATGGAACAGAAAAATGTTGAACTGAATTGAACTAAATTATACAACTTGAAGTATTTTCTTAATTCTACGGCGTTGTACTGAGAATTCATGATTTTGATATGTTGACATATATATTGTCTGATTACTCGTAATGGCGCGATCAAAATAGTCCGATTACAGTTATAAAATGGAATGGCTAGCATTGGATGTGTTGATGTTTTACAATTTAGTTTATTTAAATATACCACGAAAATTGTTTAGCCATTGAAAGATTTCTATGTATATGTTAGTAGAGAGTTAAGAGGTGAGTTCATATGTAGTAATATGGCCAGTGAGAATTCATATAATCGATCCTAACTTGTTTGAGACTGGAAGTTAATTTGTTGTTTATTTGATCCAGTTATCATTATCTATTAACTTGAGGTAATGGGAGACTGTAGTAGCGGAGCTATGCATGGTGTAGGGGGCTCAATTGAATCCTCTTCATCGCAAAATTGTACTTCATATATTGGTAATTCTTTTTTTTTTTTTTTATGTGTGTGTGTATATATATATATATGACTTTCTTTCCTAAGCCGAGGGTCTTCCAGAAATAGCCTCTCTGGGGTAAGGTCTGTGTACATACTACCCTCCGCAGAGCCTACTTGTGGGATTACACTGGGTATGTTGTTGTTGTTGTATGTGTATATATATATATATATATGACTTATTGAATCTCTTTTATATAAAGAAAACTTTTAGTGTAATGTTTTTGAATCCCCTTATCAGAATTCCTGCCAGTGAAGGAAGTGAAGGAGGAGAATACAGATATCGAGGAGAGTTGTATTGGGAAAGGTTTGGATTCGTGGGGCGGTTTTAGACTTCACTACGTCTGGGCGGATCTTTCAGTACGAATGAGAGCGAAGATGGTGTACGAAGGAGAAGGAGGCAGATACTATGAATGGTGTCCGAAGGAGCATGAAGTTCTACAGGACCACAATATAGGTGCTACTAAGCTTGTTCTTTCCACCAATGGCTTTGCTTTGCCTTGCTACTCTGATTCTGCCAAGGTTGCTTATGTTCTTCAAGGTAAAAACCTATATATGGATTCGGAATTTTTAAGTCATGGGTACTCAACCGCCTTTAATTTATTGGATACTTGGTCAATATATATATTCGTATTAGTAGTTTTCCCGTATAAAAGTATAGTGTGTTTGGGTAAAACACAATGGGTGCTTGAGCACCTATTAGCCTCCATGTAGAACGGCCGCTGTTTGTCCCAATGTTGCGCGGACTCTTTAAAATGATGCTGCACCCGTGTCAGATCCTTCAAAAAACACACTAGTTTTGGAGAATCTAACACGTACTCAGAGAAATTTTTGGAGAGTCCGAGCAACATAGGTTTGTCCTCCCTTTCTTGGTTCAGTTTTGATTTTGAGGGATCGTTTGGTTAATCACATGGGAAGATTAGTATCAGCATAAAATTACTACATAAGATAATACATTGTTTTGTTGGTTGGCAGTATAAGAAAAAATAATTTGGTCGGCGGTGTTAAATAATACTCAGATTATGTGATGCGGGAATGTAGTTATAGAATGCCAGAACAAGAATATATGTATTAGCAATGTAGGGATTAAATTATTTAAAGACACAAGTTGCCAATTTAAAGTAAGTAATTCACGTTTAACAATCTCTTCATTATTACTCATTGCATAAACAATTATCCTTGTTGTAATTCTCACATAACTAGTTTGTGGACCAAACGACTGTATTCTTGATTTGGGATTCTTGTGGTTTCCTTCAATCTGGAATTTTACCAAGGATTTTGCTTGTTTGATTATAAAACTGACACTGTTCTATTGTCTCTACGCCCAGGGTAGGAGTACGATCTGCGTGCATACTACCCTCCCCAGACCCCACTTGTGAAATTATACTAGGTTATTGTTGTTGATTATTGGCTATAAACCAACTAAGCCTTATGGTCTTAGTGATGTTTGACTTAAATTTTGGTCTTATTTGATAGTTGAATTGTCTGATTTTTTATGTTCAGCCCCAAGGGATGTCTTCTCCCACCTCCATCTTATAGCTACTATTTTTTGGTCTCTCCACCACTTAATGCTGGATTTACTTTTCATATGTTTTGTGTTCTAACTTTTTGCAGAATGATGCATTCCTTTCATATGTTTTTGTGTTCTAACCTTTGCAAAATTTGAATAAACTGTGTGCATATCCGTTACTACTCGTGGGGTTTCCTCTCTAATTGTTTAGTGTGTATTCAGGTAGCGGTATTGCTGGTGTTGTACTTCCTGGACAAGAAGAGAAGGTAGTAGCCATTCGAAAGGGTGACGCGATTGCGCTTCCTGTTGGAATTGTCACATGGTGGTACAATAAAGATGTTACAGAACTTGAGATACTCTTTCTTGGTGATACCAAAACTGCAGTTAAACTTGGTTCATTCGCTGACTTCTTGTTGAAGGGGTCGAACGGCAATAATCTCTCTTGTTTTTCCCCTGAGTTTATTGGCAGAGCATGGAAATCGGACAAAAGTATTCTCAAGACTCTCGTTGGTCTGCATCTTGCCAGGAGTATCGTCAAGCTTGTTCCAGGCTTTGAAATCTCAGAGGCGGAGCTAAAGGTAACGAAGAGGTTCAATTGAATCCATTTCGTCAAAAATGATGAGCCCGTTTGGATTGGCTTAAAAAAATGGCTTTTCCGCAGAAATAGCTTTTAAACCAAAGAGTAATAAGTTGAGGTTGCCTAAATTATTGTTTTTGGCTTGTTTTAAGCACTTTTTAACTTTGTCAAATACTGAAAAAAGCTAAAAAGAACTTAAAAATTGATTTGACCAGCTTAAAAGTCAATCCAAACACCCTCCATATCATGTAACATAAGGAAAGCTTCTAGTTTAAACATTTTCTCATTTTCTTGATTTCTGGTTTCGCCACTGGTAGGACTACAGAGATGGCATGTTACTAAACTGTGAGGAAACAGCCCCTTCCCGTTCTGACACTAATGGTGGTGGAGAGATATTGGATTTGAATACCGAAAACTTGCCAATCATTGGCGACATTGGACTTGGTGCTAGTCGTGCGACGTTGAACGGCAATGCTGCGTACTATCCTGAAATTTCTGTTGATCCAGCAATTCGCGTCACTGATATTATAAAAGGCAGCGGCAGAGTGAAGGTGCGTGATTTTTGTGGTTTTGTTACAGAAAGACAGATCGAAGTTGGTGAATTGTTTGTTGTTCCAAGGCTATTAAGTGTGTTGAAAATTGCTGATCCTGAGGGCATGGAGTGGTTCTCTATTGTCACCAACGAAAATGTAATTGTTTTATATATGAGATCACATTACTTTTCATCAATGTTGCTCAGACTCTCCAAAATGTTATCATACCTTGTCGGATCCTTCAAATACTCACTATTTTTGGAGGAAAGGACACACACCCTACGACATATTTGGAGAGTCTGACCAATATAGCTTTCTATTATGGCTATAAGTTGATTCTAATCTTAACCATTTCTATTCAACAGTCCAACAACTATCTCACACTCGGCCGTTGGGGCCTCATTTCTGATAGCTCTATTCCCAAAAGTTCAAGTTCTCCTGGTAGCTCTTAATGTGCTCCATATGTACAAAAGCAATTTAGCTCCGGGATTGATTAATTGTATGCTCTTTTTTCTCAAAATTAATCTTATTAGTCCATAGCTCTATTGAAAAAGGTAGTATGGAGGTTTAAGAATAACCTCCCATTTCCAACTTTTTTTTTGGTGCTCCAATAAGCGGGGACGGCTTTATAGCCGAATATATAGGACACGTGAACTCATGATTTTTGCCAAACTAGGTATTTTATGTACATAATTTCTAGAATTGATCTAATATTATATGTTAGTACTCATGCTCCAAAGAGGCTAAATGGTGCTCTTGGTTGAATGCTGATTTATCTACCTAGAGGAATATGGATCAATTCCCATTTAATATTTTTTTTCTCCTTTTTTTGATGGTGCACTCATATTATAAACATCTTAGATCCGCCTCTGCCATAATATTCCTATTTGTATAGAAGATTAGGTTTCTTTCATAGAGAAACATATTTTCTTGTAAATTCTCTACTTTTTAGTATACCTCTTGTATACGAGAGTTTTTTCTATTATTAATGAAATTATACTTTACTTGATTAAAAACATATTTTGCTTTTTAATTGAACTTTGACTGGTCTGGATCTACGGTACATTTATTAGAAATATTTCTTTTCACAAAACTCTACTAAGAAAAAAACTTAATTTCTTGCACCCAACGTTTAATCAATTAATACAAGATACGTGTCGTGTATATAATCTTTTATCAGTTTATCATGTCAACCTGATTTTTTTATTCGTTTGACGAGGGAAGACCTTAAGTACTGAATTAATTAAATTACACCTATATCGCGAAAAAGAGCTTCTCTAGCTTTAGCGCGCACCTTTTCTCCTATAAGGAGAACCCACACTCAAACTCGGGGCTTGACGAAACGAAAAGTTTCAACATGTTGATACTTCTTGGGGTAAGTAGTGAAAGAAAGAGCCCGACATTCATTTCTTCATGAATATTCATAGCTGAGTCTATTAAAAGAGGGACCAGCCTCGTCGTGCTGATTAGAGGACACCTTTGATCCTCGTTCCTAAAAAGCCTTTCCGATTGACTCCGCCCCTACCTCTTAAAGCGAACCTCCTGCCAAGAGGCCAAGGTTGCTTGCTAATGGAAACACTCAAGGATCGAGTGACCAACTTGATGGCAAGGTCGCCCATTTGGACGGACAAGTGTAGACTATGGCAGAAAGGCAGTGGAATCTAGAAAGTTTTATTCATTGCTCTTAACCCAAGGCACATTACCGTTCCCAATAATCTCCATGAAAAGACTACCATGATTTTCGAACGAACCGAGGGAAGTCGAGGCATAAAAAACCAAAGGACAGCCTCCCTTATTCTTCTCCTGTTGGACCCCTATTTCCTCGTAAATAGCCTGGTTTGAGCTAGAACAGCAAATTCGTGAGCAAGAGCGTATTTCACAATTGGTTCAACAACAATCGTTCCGCTCGTCCCTCTTTCCTTTTGAGGAGGGACTTCGCTTCACTCTCCTTGAAGGTTCATTTAGACTAGGAAGAGACGCTTCCCCCTCCATCTAGTCCCGGCCTTCTCCAAGTCCCCCTCGTTGCTTCTGGCAGTGTGTCGCGTGTTAAGAAGGAAGAGACCGCCCCAGGCTTCGCCCTAATTCCCGTCTAAGGTTGAATAAGATTAGGCAGAAGCAGCGGGTACGTCTGTTCGGGTTCATTCATGTCCAATAAACATCAAACAAAAGGAGATTCAGGTATCAGAGTTGAGTGGATAGGCGACAGGAGGATGGGGGAAGATTAAAGACAAGACGAAAGGAAGAGTTCCGACAGCCCCCCGCCCGCCTTTTCAGATACGAGTGAATGAGAGCTTTTTTTGCTATGAATGAGTGACCTCTCCATTTATTTTCAAGCTTGCTCTTCAAACCGGCCTATCGCTATGGGGGAAATCTTTGGCTGTATCGAACATACATGGAATTAGACCCTACCTCTCGTCTAACTCGAGTTGCCTTGCTCCTTTGGTAGTTAAGACTTCTTTCGTTTGGTAGAGCGACGAAAGGCTACTTCAATGACGGAAACAACCGGAAACTCGAGAGGGTCGCCTTTGGAGAGATCCTTACTTCTTGGGATACTGTGCCATAAATGGGAATAGGTTCATACGATTCAATAGGGTCTTTGCCAACCAGTGAGGAGGGCAGCGGCCTTCTCCTGTTCATCAACTCGAACCTCATTCTTCTGCAGTTGATGTTACTGATTAGCCTCACTCTTCAGGCCAGCAGCTTTGTTCAGCATTTTCTGCTGGTGCCTCGGAAGTACCCTGAAGTGCTATCTGAGTAGGTCTAGACCACTGAACATACTTGGTTGACAAACATAGTTTATGCGCCGCGAGCTCAAGGAGAATGGTGATCCCGAAAAGGAAAATCGACAAGGAAGATATAAAGTCAACGGTAAACTTACGGTAGCCACTCCCTTCTTAGAGAACCGTAAATGAGACTTCCGCCTCATATGGCTCCGTCCCGAGCTTCCGTTGTCGGCCTTGGCATTAAACCACTATCTATGCATGTATTTTCAGCCTGGACTGTCAACTGATATGTATTCTCATTTTAATTTGTAACTCTTAATTTCAATCATTCTATTTTTACATATTCTCACTACCCTTACCAAGTTTACTACCAAAGTTTGTTGCTGATATTATTACACTATATGAAATTTGCACGTCAGTATCGCTGCGGGCCTCCACCAGAGTTTCCTCTGGCTTCGCCCCGCTCAGGCATAGTTCACCATCTTTCGGGTCCCGACAGGTATGCTCACACTCGAACCCTTCACAGAAGATCAAGGTCGGGAAATACAACCATGTTAAATTATTGCATCAATCCTTTGTTTTCATAATTCTTAGCTGCAATTTTATTTTAGTTCATACTGCTTTTGCCACTTAATTAAAACAAAGAAAAGCATTTAGACAAATAAATCTTAAATTTGGAGATAGGGAAACAACCCTTAAACTAACACTTGAAAAAAAGTTTTTAAGTTGGGACACAATGTCGATTAACTTTGTGTTCCCGCCATCACATATTCCACTTTATTCGATTATTTAAACGGATATTTTAACTCAATTATTTAATGCTTAGATTAGGGGAAAAAACAAGAGATTAAAATCCACTGTTTGGATGATAGAATAATTTTTTTTTAAATTGCTTAAATTTCTCGGTTTTCGGTTTCTCCATTGGTGAAAAACTGTAATTTTTCTTAAGAAATTTAACAGGTTAAAACAATTACAACCATGAAATCTGCTCCAATAAATCTCTCATTCTTCATCAGAGTACTGTCGATTAAATTAAAATTGGCAAAATATGAAGACAAAATAAAAAGAACAAACAAAGTAAACAAACAGAGAGAAATGCTAAACCCCAGGGCAATTAACAGAACAATTGAAGCAAGGCTATTCTTGAAAAGTCAGATATGCCCTCAACTTGAAATTTATGGACAAGAAGGTCGAAACACCTGGTCGCTTATTAAGCTAGCGTTTGGACATAGATTTAGTTGAAACTTGAAAAAATAATTTTTGAATTAGTTTTGGAAAATAATTTTGGAAGTTGAAATTATGTTTGGACATGCATTTTATTTGAAAAAAATTTGAAGTTTTGTGAGTGGGAGAACAAGTTTCACCCAAAAACTACCCTAAACTAGATTTTGGGAACTTCAAAAATAATTTCAGAAATTTTTCGAAAATAGATCATTAATTTACGAACAAACAATGTTTTCAAAAAAGATTTGAAAAAAAATTGCCAAAATCTATGGCTAAACGGGAGCTAAAAAACTTCGACGTGCTTAAAATTAAAAACCACTCGCCCGCTCGGAACGTGAAGCCCCCTACCCCGATTTGGGTTTATTGTGCTTCTCTATTGGGCCTCTACACAGTATAATTTGAACTTTAACTAAAGGATTTTTTCCTTCCTATACCATATATGAACTTTATTACCAAATATGTGCATAGTATCTAAATTGCCTAGTCCATATTTTTCCTACAATTTCAGTACCATTCGTTTATTAGGAATTAATAGGGCAGAACCTTCCCTGATGAAGCTACAATGTGTTTCAACTCAAAGCCATGAATCATGATTGATCTTCAAACATCCATACACTTAGGCAAACTTCACGTTACAATATGGCAGTAACTTTGAATTTGGCTAGAGAGAAGACGATGCTACAGTAAGTCTTAAAAACGATTTTAAGATCTGTTGCAAATGATTGTAGATTTTAGGGAAAAAAAAACAAAAGGAGATTGTTAACAATGAGAAGGGTGTTCTTTTGGGACCAATTTTGAGATGTTACCTTGCCGGATGCCGAAATTATGGTCGATCCAGATATTTTCCACCATTGAAGCTATTAAAAAGCTTGAAAGCTTTGAATTCAAATTTGGATTTTCAAAAATCATTATTTGTTTGGATTGGGTGTTGTTGAAAATAATCGGGAATATGGTTTGGAGTTTATATATCAATTTTGAGGGGTTTTGATGAAGATTAGACTTGGTTTTGACTGAATTTCAGTTTGAAACTCGAAGAAGAAGAAGAAGAAGAAGAAGAAGAAGAAGAAGAAGACATATTGCAAAAATTGTAGATAAATTGTAGATTATTTGTATTCTGATTGTAGATGCTTTATTTTCTGTTTTCACAAATAAAAAACGGCTAAAACAGCTACAAATCTTATGAAAGAACGCAATTATGTCAAAAATACCAATTATGCTACAATTGAATGAGAATTGGGATAATACAAATAATCTACAATTTATCTACAAAATATCTACAAACTGGGTACATTGAATTTTAATATCGCAATTGTCATTCAATTGTAGCATAATGATTGTAGATTTTAGGAAAAAAACAAGAGATTGTTAACAATGAGAAGGGTGTTATTTTGGGACCAATTTTGAGATGTTACCTTGCCGGATATCGGAATTATGGCCGATGAATAGTGATTTCAGAAATTGTAGAAGAAGAAGACATATTGCAGAAATTGTAGACAAATTATAGATAAATTGTAGATTATTTGTATTTTGATTGT